CTCGGAACGTCGTGGCGTTGTCACTCAAAAGTTGCACGCAGCGACCACGACGAGCCACAAAGCGTTGAAACGCCGCGATGAAGGCGGAGGTTGTCAAATCGGAGACAACTTCTAAATGAACCGCCTTAGTGACCAGGCAGACGAAGACGGCTAGATATCCCTTCGTTGTCCTTTGTCCTCTCCCTTTGGCAAGACGAAGCATAATCGGCCCTGCGTAGTCGATGCCACTTCGTGCAAATGCTCTCGCCGGGCGGAGTCTGCACGGAGGAATATCTCCCATCCGTTGTTGACCAGTGGTACCTCGCTGTCGAATGCACCGGAGGCAATGTCGGAGGATTTTTTTAATCAAGCTCCTTCCTCTGGGTATCCAATACTCCTGCATGAGAGTACAACGAGTTAAATCCAGTCCTCCATGGAGCGTTCTTTCGTCCGCAGCTCGAATTATGAGAGTGGCCAACGGCGATCGTTTGTGAATGATGATGGGGTGACGCTGATCCCTGGATAACGGGGCGTTAGAAAGCCGGCCACCCACGCGCAAGACTCCTGCTTCGTCTAAAAACGGATTTAAAGCGTAAAGTGACGAAGAAGTCAAAGGCGGTTTACCTGATTTCAGGCGCTTAATTGATGATGATGATGATTAATGTTATGAGCATCGACTGCCATGGTCATTAGCCCAAATTGACGAAGAGGTCAAAGGCGGTTTACCTGATTTCAGGCGCTTAATCTCCTGCACAAAGGTGTCAGCCTGGCTCAAGCGACACAGTAGAAGACGAGCCTCTTCGAGCTCCTGCGCTGACAAGAAACCACCTCGGCGAGAGGAAGAAGATCGACAGTTATGGATATATCGTCGGAGGTATGCGGTGACCCTGACTAGGCGAGTGAAAGATGACCATCGCTCCAGTAGCTCGTTGGGTTCCATCCGAGTCACGGAGAGGTGCAGCATAATGGATCGTTGTTCCGGTACGTCTCCAGGTATCGTTACTGACGACTTTTCCCAATGTTCAGGAGGATTCCTCAAAAAAGTGGGTCCGTACCACCATAATTGATTTCCCTCTAATTCGTTGTAGGACAGGCCTCTGGTCGCCAAATCTGCGGGGTTGTTAGAAGTCCGCACATGCCTCCACTGCACCTCTGGGAGAAGACCATGGATCTCCGCGACTCGGTGGGCCACGAAAGGCTTCCACCGCGAAGCATGTCCTTGGAGCCACGCTAGAACGACAGACGACAGCCGCATCTGTCCAAGCATACAGCCGAACAGAGTGGGGTTGAAGACAGTTCCGAACGGCGGTGACGAGTCGCGCTAAGAGTTGTGCTCCGCAAAGCTCGAGCCGAGGCACACTCTGCTGTTTCGTAGGTGCGACCTTCGTCTTACAGACCAGAAGATGTACGTCAGCGGCCGTATGCGAATGCGGAACTCGCAGGTAAATAGCGGCTGCGTACGCTCGTTCGGAAGCATCACAAAACGCGTGGAGCTCCAAGGCATCCTCGGATTCTGAGCCCGTCCAGCGAGGGATTTTCAAGGCCTCCAAACGCTCCAGATCACGTCGAAAGTTAGCCCAGTTCTTGTCGATGGTCTTCGTTAACGGTTCGTCCCAGTCCAGAGCAGCAAGCCAGAGATCCTGGATCAGCACCTTGGCCCGAATCAAAACTGGAGCGAACCATCCCATGGGATCGAATAGACGGGCCGTTTCGGAGACGACCTCGCGCTTAGTCCAAGATGTCTTAGAGGTTTCCTCAACTGGTCAGTAACTTCGCAACGTGAGTATGTCGACCTTGGGATCCCATCGAAGCCCCAAAGCTCCTACAGTGTCATTGACCTGCAACAATTTCTCTGTAGAAAGCCGAGATTGCCAAACATCGCAGTGTCGAAATTGACCGCCCACTTATCCAGGGGGAAACCGCCCGCCGTGAGAAGCTCCACCAGCTGGTGTCGGACTTCCTCTGCTTCTTGGACGTTATCCGCTCCAGCCAGGATATCGTCGACGTATGAGTGATGTCGCAACGCTTCCGCTCCTCGTGGGAAACGTTTGCCCTCATCATCGGCGAGCTGCTGGAGAACCCGAAGAGCCAGAAAGG